TATCCACATAGAGGAATGCACAAAAATTTATTTTTTTAAATATTGAGCTCTTTTTGAATTTATATTATCTATTCTTTTTAGTAAATCTCTGAACACATAGAATAACATTGAATGGGAGTACTGAATTACTAAGTGAGCTGTAGAGCCAGAATCTAAATGCTGTTCTCTAAACCACAGTCGTTAATTCAACATGTTCTGCTGCCAATGGTGTTCTGTCCTGTTGTAAATGTTGCTGTACCTGGAACCCCTGTTTCTGTGACTTTCTGGCCATTATCAGCTGATCTGCAGATGAGGTGTTTTGTAGTAGAGATTAAAGGAAAAAATAGACATTTCTGAAGTTATCCTCAATATTCATACACAAGGTCAAATTACTAGATGGGCATGCTGCTCTTGTACACCTGGACAAATATATAAAGAAACCACTTATCTATGTTGTTGGCTACAAGAACCAGAACAACATAAAAAAAAAAAAAAAAATTAAACCTTCTTGAATAGCCTGACCCCTGCTTGGAAAGACTGCAGAAGTGATGCAAAATTGTCTTAGCAAAAAATGTGGCCATGATAAATTACCCTCCATGTGTAAGAAGTAAAGTACAACAAAACGACCAGATTCTCCAGTTGTCCCATATAGTGTCCTGCTTTTTTAGTATGGAGTTTTTCCCCCCTCTAATGACTGTATGTCATAGTAAGTTAATATCAGTACCTTTAAAATTTGGAGCAAATCCAAGGAAAATACACAGGGCTAGTTCACTTTTCACCAAAAATCTTTCATTAACTAATGTTGATGGAAGCACATTTAGCCACAGCAATTTGCATGGCAGTTGAATTGCTGTTTGTATTAAACAGCAAACCAGAGAATAATAAAGGAAAACATGAACATACCAGTGGTAAGTAAGGGAGTCCTCCAGCTTTTTCCATGCTGATCATATGTTCTAAAGGTTTGTAAGAACAAACAAAATTGCTTATTGTTACAAGGAGCACTAATCATGCTCAGCTGTCATGACATTGTCTCATGTCAGCTATCGAGAGGTCTCAGCTCTATTCACTTGGCTTGCACCTGTTTGCAGTAAAGTAGGGCTTCTCAGCGATGCCTGGCAGCCATATTTCATTGTCACAGGTTAATAATCCTGTTCATCATTTCAAATGCGTGTGCCCGAAGAAGCTGCCTAACAAGTGAGCAGTCCTACAGGTAGTGAAGGGGATTCTGGAATCTAAGTGAAGGGCCAATGCTGCAGTTAGGGTGACATGAAAGCCCTGGCTGTGCACATCAGGGAACTCCTAAAGCGAGTCTGAGGAATACACATGTATTTCTGAAAGTGACAGTATGAAGAGGGGTGTAATTACTGAGTAGTGCAATTGAGAGTGTGGTATGTTAGAGTACAAGATAGGAGAGGTGGTGTTAGTATTAGTGGTAATCTCAGGCAACCTTTACACTTTCTTTGAGCCTCTCATCTTTGTTTATTATGGAATGAAATGTTTCAATATGGAACAGAAAATTCTTCCTCACACGGAGTTCTCCAGGTTTCTGAAGATAAGAAGATTGAATACAGCTGCACTCTCGGAGAAGCTTTTAAAAACCTAAGGCTAAGGAATTGGTTAGAAGTTGAGGAGTTTTGTTAGCTTCATTAGTTACAGTCCTCAACAACTCTTTCTGGCCTCTGTTTTCTTTTTTTTTTTTTTAAACCAGCTTTACTACTGAGCAAGTTCTGTTGCTGTATGGAAAAACACAGCCTTGAATGCAGCAGAGTAATAGATGGTTTACTCACCAGCCTGGTTCTTGATCAATTATGTAGCAGGACATGTTAGTTAGGCAACATCAGTGACAGTTTCACACAAATCACCTGAGAAATTTCAAAAGGAAATGTAGACCACAAACTTGACTCTACAGCAACAAGTCTAGTTTTTTGTATGGGTCATTGGTCCCTCTACATATCCCTCAGTTCCACTGCTCATTAAACAGTTTGATTCTTTAAAAGAGCCCAGCTCTAAGAACTTTCCATTTTCCAGAGGTAGTAAAATAAATGGCCACATCCTCCTGGAGACAGAGCAGTAATTTTACATATCATGAGTACTGAAGAGAGTTAGGCTAAAGAGAGTTTACAGAAATGGGTTGCAATAGACATCTATATTTTGGCCTACCTGGTATTCCTCTTTTTTCTGGTACTCTGATTTTACATGTGAAATATTTTCTTTCTGTTTATAATTCAATCCACTTGGGATTACCAATTACTTCATACTTCTCAGCTAAGCAAGAAGCAAGAGATCTAAGCAAGAATCTTTAGTCTGTCTCAGAATTTCCTTTTAAGTAGAGCAATCTAAAATTTAGAAGTTGTGGTCGATTAACTAATGGTCTTCTTGTAACACCCAGCTGAACTGAATCAGCGTGACTCTGGGTGTGGAAGGCCCCTGAGGCTTGTTGCCAGCAGTATAAAAGGAAAGCTAGAGAGGAAAATGGTACGATGTTGGTTCTCTTGGAGAAGCTTGTTATGCTGGTTTTCTTGATGTGAACTCTGCTGTTATTGTCCGGGGAGCTCAGGTCCTTGCTGTTGCTGAGGGTGGCTGTGATTCTTTTTGGGGAAGCTCTGGTTTTTACTCTGAGCATAGCTTCCTGGATCCAGTACAGATCCCTTAGCCTGCTTACATAGATCCTTCATCCCATTGGCATAGACTTTCTAGCTTCCACCACTGACCTTTGGGCCTTGCCAGTGTAGATCCTTAATGCAGACTGCATGAGACAGTATCCTTGGCTCTAGGCCTCCAGCTGGACTCATGGAGGACATTGCCTTGGGCTCCAGGTTTTCAGCTGGGCTCATGCAGGACATTGCCTTGGGATCCAGGCCCTCACCTGGATTATTTGGGTCTCTAGTGCATGGACAGATCTCTTACTTTTCTGCATTTGACTCTTTGGATGAATATTGTAAAATAATCCTATAAATTATGTGTTCTGTATTAAATCTATTCCCTTGTAACCCTGACTACAACAGAAGTAAGATAAAATAAAGTAGCATTTGTTAATATTACCTGCAGCCCTTCATACTGTTGTAGTTGTTCCTCTCTTCAGAGTCTGGATCCTCTTTCTCCATGTATTCATTGATTATTCTTAATTACATTCTAAATGCTTCTTATTGACTTAACAACTGATTCTATCAGTTGCCAAATTCTTAGTACCAGACTATCCCCATATTTCTGTGTTAAGTTCATTATCTCTGAGTTGGTGTTGGTACTGGTTTTATCTGGGAAGCTGATTTGATATTAGTCGGGCTTCTTTCATCTGTAGACAGCTTCAGGTCAGCTAGTCACCTCTGGTCTGCTTGTTTGCTGGCTAACAGCAGGACAGTCTTTATGGTAGCAGAGGTGGGCAGAGTCGTGGCTGTCCCTCTTTTCACCTTGTGGATTGTTCACATGGTAATAACAAGGTCCTAAGTAAGAAGTAAAAATGTTCAAAGCCTCTTGCAGTGTTGTTCACATTGGCACATTTACTTGCTGCTATATTCTGTCCACTGAATCAAGTCAGGAAGCCAAGATAGAAGACATAAAGCAGCAGATGTGTGTGACATCTTGATGGAAGTCGCAGCAACATCCCAATGCAAATGAACAAGCTTGTAGGAAAGGAGTGACTGAGGATAATTATGTAGTCTACTTTACCCAAAGTTTGTTTATATACCTTATAACTAAAGAATCTGATGCCAACAGATGGCCCTTAAAAATATACTCTAAAACATCAGCATATTCCTCTATCATTATTGACTTAACTGATTATGGGTGGTTTAGAGAGGCAAAGTAGTTCCTCTAAGGGACACAGAAGAAAAACTCCCTCTGATCTTTAGTGGTAGGACATTGTGTCTTTGTGCGTTGCTTGCCACTTCATTACGGCCTTAGGTGTGCAGTCTCCGAGCACTTTTGCAATCAGTTATATACTCTTTCAGGTCTCCTGAAGTTTCGTATATGGCCTGCTGTCTTATGATGTGCACCAGCATGGCTTTCCCACCCCTTATATTCCTACTTCCTGCTGTATCTAGTGTAACCGTGCTAAAAACATTTGTATTTATCTTTCTGGGGTACGTATTAGGTTTCTGTAAGTTATATTTTCCTTTTATGTTGCACAGCCTCTTGGGAAGCTACATGAATCGGAGTAAGGCAAATGCTAATACTTACGTGCACTGCTGTAGCCAGTTTTCATCCAAGTTCTGATTCAGACGAGCATGCTTTAGGTTGGTGAGACCTAATAATATCACAGCACAGGGTGGTATAGCTTCAGGCAGAAGATTCTGCTTGCCAAATCATTTTCCTTTATAGCCAGTTCATAAATTAATGTAGGGCCCTGAGACACCATGATTGTATGTGTGCCTTAAAATAGGTCCGTCCTCAGTCGACTGCCTTTCCTTCCAGCCACTAGTTTCTCTGAAATGATGCCAAAGCCTTGGTTAGATATTGCTTCAGTGCTCCCACCCTCTGTGTGAAATGATAATTAATACGGCTTTACGGTTGAGGTGTTGCTCCACTTCCATTAATAATACTCATTATTCCAGGGTGTTTAAATTTGGTTATAAAAATTGACTGTAGGGGTGGAACTTGGTGTGATGGTTTATTTTAAAGGCAAATGGTTTCTATCTAATTTTTCATTCAAAAGAAAATCTTTTATAAGGAAATTTGTGTCACTTTTGAGTATTGGACCAAATTTCCAAGTTCTTTGTATAATTTTGGATTTGTAATTGATTTGTTATCATCCTGTAGTGTCTCTCTTAAACCTGAAACCTCTCAAAGCTTCTTAAGTAGCTTACATTTTATATTGTCTGCATTTTGCAACAGTTGGAATCTTTGGGCATTTGAAACAAAAAGAAAAAAAAAATGTTGTTTCTTACATGTCTATATCAAATTCTCTTCTTTCCAGGTAATAGTTTGGCTACTCACCATATTGCATTGGCTGATAAAAGGCACCCCATATTTACATTTTCATAGGTGTTTTGTTTTATTATTGTAGATCTTCTAGAAGAGACCCAAAGAAAAGAAGAAGAAATGGAATCTCTACAGGTAAAATAAATTGTCCAATCAAACAAGTATCTGTAGAATTGAAACATTTTCCCCCACTGTTATCCTTCATTATTGTCATATTGAGACTACTACAGAAAATGGGGTAAAAATACTGTCAGAACTTTAAAGCTAAAGGTGGAATTTGTTTCCTTCAGATGTCTTTGAGATTACCTGTAATGTAAGGTAGGGAGCCCGGTCAGCCTCTAGATTACGCTTGAGAGCAACCCTTATTACTTGATGCAGTATAATGGTAGCTTCAGCATTAGGAAACAAAGATAGCAAAGTCATCCTCCCTAAGCAGGGCTGATGCATGAGCATGAAGCCATACAGTCTGCATTTCCAAGTGAAAGTCAAATGTGTTCTGCCTCATGGCTGTCGTCTACTTGTGCTAAACTAGGAAGGTTAACCTTGTGTGGAGTTTAACATTTACTTGGGATAGCCTCTTACTTTACCCTGGAAGTATGCACTTTTCTTGGAAAAATAGTATTTTGAAAGATTTGGCTAGAAGTTTAATTGACATTTTCATGGTATGAGCAATTGATGTGAAGTTGATGTCTGGCAGAAGTTCTCTCTTCTTTTTTTTTTTTAACACTGGGCTAACTTCCGAATGGGTAACTCAAGTGTCTGTCTTTATTAGGGGAAACATAATCAGTTATACTCACCTGACAGAACCAATTCACTTAATGTCATGCTGGAGATTAAGAACAGTAAATCCTTTAGACATTTAAAGTTCTTTGTGGGCCTGGAACTGTAAAGCTGAGCCAGGACCTAACACAGTGAACTGGCTTGAGTACTTGGAGGACAAAAATGTTAAACTTCTAGTAAATGAATAATGGGTCAAGTAAAGCCAGAAGAATAAGGAAATATTTCATGATTGAAGATTTTATATTTGATGGTATATCCATGAAGAAAAAGTTATATGATTCATATGAAAATGCAGAGGTAGCACAGTTCTATGCCTAACGATGCTGAAAGTTAACTACAGTTTCGTGTAAATTCTTTTCAGCATCTTGTGCTATATTTATGTATAAAAAGTACTGATCCATTGTGAAGCTAGGAAAAATCTCAAGTGTGTACTTCCCCTCCAAATATCTGTGAAGTTAATATTATCAGTGCTTATTTTAAAAACAAAATTGTATGTCTACTCAATGTGTATACTGAGAAGAGAACAAGGTATTTTTGCCACGTGTTTTTAAAAACATTAAAAAATAGTAAAAAAAAATAGAAATGATACAGAATTTCATTACATAAAGTAATAGGAATTCAACAGTGATTGTTATATTGAATAATATTGTCTTCCAGTGAATTGTTTAGATTACCAGATATGATCATGCAAAACTTGTTTTGAAAAGTTATGAAAAATTAAAAAGGAGATGAAAAAATCATTGAAGCATTCTTTGCTCCTTTCAGTAGACCAGAAAACATCAGCAATGCAGTTATCCAAGCTATCCTGTGTGTATACATAGCTATGCCTTTTTCACTTCCTTCTTTCTTCCTTTTCCTCATCCCAGTTCCTTCTCTTTAAACAGATTGTTTCCCTTTCACAGTATCCACTATACCTTTCAGACTTCATTCACTCCTGTCAGATTCCTACACTAGTGAGACAATATGATGTTTGCACATGTGGGTCTGATTTATTTCACTGATGAGTATGGTCTCTAGTTGTATCCATTTACCTATAAAACCTCAAATTTTTCTTTCTTTATAGCTGAGTAATTCTCCATTGTATAAAAATACCACATCTTTTTTATCCATCCTGCAGTTGATGGGCATTTGGGTTGTTTTCAGGACTTAACTATGGCAAATTGTGCTGTGATGAACAAGCATGCACATACATTGCTGGGTACGGTGTTTTCAGTTCTCCTGGAAAAGCACCCAGAAGAGGAATAGCTGGGTTGATGGGACTTCCAATCCTAATTTTTTGAAGAACCTCCACACTGATTTTCATAGTGGTTGTACCAATCTACACTCCTACCAACGGTGGAAAGGGGGTTCCTTTTTCCCCACAGTCTCTCCAGTATTTGTTACTGCTTACCATCTTTCGGACATTCTGGTTATGTGTTGTGATTACCATTGGCCCCAGAGGACTATTGACTATGTATCTACCTTTTTGAAATGGCAGTATAGCTATTTTGGACTTTATTTCTCTCATAATACAAATGTAGTAGTCAGGAATTCCACTAAATTTAATAGCCTATTTTGCTTCTCAGATGTTTATTAAATATTGGCAGCATTTTCTACTGCGTATCTACTCAGTTCCATAGAACACAGTACCTAACTAGCCATAGTTGCTTATACGTGTGGCGTGTGCAGTGTGATGTCCTACAGCAGAAGAGTGAAATGTTGGCACCTTGTGGTGGTTGTCCACGTCTGACACTAACACTGTAGTAAAAATACACGCAGCTGATACTTTTTAAAGAAATAGGAGTTCAGAGGCACTTCAAAAATAAAAGGCTTTATTATTAAAGAGTGGGGGAGAAATTCATGAAAAAGTTTGACTCTTACTTAGTATATAGATTCTATGTTCAAATATAGACAGATTCTATATTCACATATAAACAGAATAGGTCATAGTTTGGAGAAAGCTATTAAATTAAGTAGTTTGAATTCTTTTTATTTTTATTTTTGTTATTTTTTTGTTGAGGGGGGGGGACTGGGGATTGAACTCAGGCTGTTGCACTTGCCAGGGAAGCACTTACTCCACTGAGCTATCTCCCTGGCCCCTGAATTCTTCTTCTTCTTCTTTTTTTTTTTTTTTTCTTTTGTATGGGAAATCAGTGCCTCACACTTGCTAGGCAGGTGCTGTGCTACTGAGCCATACCACTGAATTCTTAAAATAATGCTAAGTATTTGTGTGGGAGAGAAAGAACAAAATCTTTTCCCAAAAATGATTACAATAGAGATTGGAGGTTAACAACCTTGAGTATTAAGTCTCAGCTCGGCCTCTGATTCACTGGGTAACCTTGGGTTACTCAATTAACTTTGCAGTGCCTGTTTTTCACCTGTAATATAAAATCATAAAACTGTCTTCCAGAAGTGTTTAGTGTATATTAGATTATCCCAGAAGGGAGAGCTAAGTATTTAATTCCAATTTGCAGTGTTAGCAAATCCTCATGTATCCAAATTGGAGTCTATTTTATTTACTCATTATCATCTTATAATTATGTATAACAGACATTCTGCATTTAATGTTATTCTCCTTAAGGAGAGTAGGGGGTATATTATTTACCCCCTAAACCTCTCCCAGTTTCCTGTAATAAAAAGCCATAGAAGCTTTATTTATTCCTAAACTCTTCCCAGTTTTCTGTAATGAAAGTCCTCTGTTTATTCACTGAACAAATATTGATTGAGCAATAACATTGTACATGGTGGTGTACAAGGTGCTAAGGACCCACACTGTGGATCCTATGTTGCTTTTCTCCCTCCATACCAGATTTAGTGATAAAGACTGTTTGCAATAAAGTGCTGAAAATTATATTAGAGAGACTGTATAAATTACTGAGATAACACATAAGAACATTATCCTTGTTTGTTGATAGAATAGTTTTCATGGAATGGAAATAAGATCAAGTTGCACATGGCTAGGTTGAGCTGGGATAGGGTGGCAATCCAAGACTATGCTAAGAAAGCCAGCATTTAACTGGTAACTAGCTCTTATCTACGGAAGTTTGGCCTGAGGCTAAGGAAAGTTTTAGGCACTGGGAAGGATATAGGAGAGTTCATAATTAAAAAATCTTAATATTTAAAGAAGTAAAAGTTCATCATGGTAGAATATAACTTCTATGGAGAGGGAAGTCAGAATTTTATAAAGTCTGCAGAGGTCTGAACAATGTCATAAAGGAGTCTGGACTTTGGTATATGTGAAACCAGAGAGGCATTTGATGCAAGGGAACAATATGCTCAAATCTGTATTTCAAATACATAACTGGCTATAAAGTTGAAAATACTGTAGTACCTCAGTTCATGAAGTTAATTTGTTCTATGATTCTGGGAAAGATGGCCATGTTTGTGTGTGTTTGGGGAAAATGGCAGCCCTCATGTTTGTCTCCTGATGCAGTTTGCAAACAAAAACAAAACTTTGCCAAATGCCTTTGTTTGAGAACCAAATTGTTTGCAAATAAAAGTATGTGTGGAGCAATTATCTTAGAAGCCAGATAGAGCAATTAAGAAGGTATTGGTGAGGATCTTATCAAGAGATGGTGGTGTCCTGGATTGTGTGTCAGAAGGAGGCCTGGAAAGGAGTGTTACAAAAAGCAGTGGAACTTTGAGATTGGAAGTAAAAGTGAAGAATGACACTGGGGGTTCTTGATTGGACAGCGTCATGAGTGGTTGTGGTGAGCAACCGAGCAAGGAAGTGGAGGAGTTCGATTTCCAGTACTTTTAAAAACCCAGATGCAGTGTTGTGAAGTGGGTTGGCAAGCTGCATGGAAGCCTGGTGCCTTCAGGGCTTTGAGGATGATATGCACATTTTGACATCAGCACGTATGGTGTCCATGACATGTAGATGATGGTAACAGTCACAGGAGCAAAAGAACACTTAGGAGAAGTATGTGGAACTACACAAAATGAAAGCATAGGCCAGAACCCTAGGAGCCACCAACATTTACCTAATCCACTGGGGTCCATGCCCTGCAAGCAGGCTAAGACAGAAAACAAGCACGCAAACAAGCACATAACTACAAGAGCACATGATGTCGTGAAGCTTGAAAAAAGAATATTGCAAGGGGAAAACATAGGAATGGAAGGAATACTTACTATATTCTACAAGTTTTAGTTATGGATTTTGATAGCAACATAAAACCTTACCATTCAGTGACTTGTAATTTCCCGTACCTGTGAAGCAACTCTCATGTCCTCTGTTTTCCCAGATATCACTGCTTAGCTCCATGCTTTGGCCTATAGTAGGTATTCAGTACATTTCAGTGGGCTGAACAAATAAATGCCACCTCACTAGTCTTCGTTTAACACCTATTCCTCCATCTTCTCAATGCTCATTTATT